AAGCGCCATGTTCCCGAATGGGGGACCCCCCCGTTGTGGCGGGGGGTCTGATGGTTTGGTGAGTTGCTTTTGGGCCATCGAGGCTCCAGTGAGCAGGAGTTCTTTGTGAACAACGGCAACTTGGTGGTTGGTTTCCTGACGGCGCAGGCGGGGCGATGTTTTGCCTCGATAGTGGTGCAGGTGCCCAAATCGATGGTGGTCGCTGGAATGGTTTAACCGCCTGAAGATCCAATGTGAACCCCACAACCACTGGGTTGGTCTTCAGACAATGGTCTCTACCAATGTTTTTCACCACGTTTTGTTTCTCTTCTCAGCATCCCATCCGATCGTTTGGACGTTGGGCTGGGTGGACGTTGGGCTAACGCACAGGCACCGGTTGATCCGTCCGGCACCGGTGGATCCGACCTCGGTCCGACTTCGGTGCACCTCGGGGGGATTGACCGTACTTTTTTCAGATGAAATGCATCGAAAGCAACCGACAGGTGTATTTGAATAGATGAGACATGATGAGACATCTTTTTTTGACAGAAAAAGAACCACTAGACCCGGCCAGGGGAGGTATACCTGATAGTATACCTGATGCATCCAGATACCCACGGCTTCGGCTGCTGGAATTTTGGAAGCGCCCCCCGTGTCGGCTTCGGGTTGACAGGACCGGTACCACTGCATGTTGGGTGCCAACTGCTTGCTGGGCGTGGCATTGCCGGTCGGGCCTTCGGATTCAGAGAACGTTATTTTCGAGGAAAAGAGCTGGGAAGTAGGAAGTTGATTTCGAAGGTATGGGGTGAGTGTTCAACCATCCACAAACAAGAACGGGTGAACAAGCAATCAAATTTGCGAGGTAAGTATAATTCTATTGGAGTGACAGATTTCCTGCATCCGTTCCCAAAAGCTTCACCTTATCCGTGCTTGGGAAGTGTGCAGTTGGTCCGAACCCCACACGTTTACACCTCCACGCGTTTGGGGGCCTTTTCCCATGAAGGCCAAAGACGATTTTGGATGAGATACGGATGAAGAACCTGGTTTTGCTGAAAGTGATGTTTGATTTTCCCGGTCAGGTTCATCCCACTCTGAAGAAGATGAACCATATGAGCAAAAGGGGCGACAAGAACGGTTGTCCAACTGTTTCTAAAAAGTGGAATGTGGTGAGAAAATCCAATGCAAAATCCGATGAAGTGTTTTGTTGATTTTCGGCAATGTGGATTAACTGCAACATGCAGATGTTCTCACCTCATTCTGCTTTGGGCTTTGGACGCTGTTTTTGGGAATGCTTTGTCAGCTCAGTGATCCAAATGCATTCAAAGGGCTCAAGTTGGCTCAAGATCAATATTCAATATGGGCTCAAGCATACAACAAAGGCACATTCAACCTGGTTGGTCCCTCTTCGGTGGTGATTCTTGGATTTCAAACTCAAAGCTGACTCGACAACCAAGGCCTCCTTGCCAAACCAGCGTGCGGTACTGCTGCCGGGCAACATTCGCTGCGCAGAGGCACGGGCCACATTCGGTTGATCGGCATTCGCTGGGTATAGGGAGTCGGCTGCAAATAATATATATATTATGTACACAGTCACATATTTATATCACAAGGATCATGAATCATGATACTCAACTTTGGCGGCTTGGAATTGCGAACCATTTTTCATCATTTTGCCCACCCTGCAATCCATCCTGCATGTCCGATTTCCTAGGCTACAACGGTTTTGTGGAGAATGAGTTGCCAAAACATTGGGCCTGATGAAGGTCATGAGATCTCCAGCTAGAGCAACACGTGGACGTGCAACATGTACTTTGCACGCAGCACCTTCCATCCCCCATTCCTTTCACCAATGCCAATACACCCCCCATTCCTTTCCACCCCCCATTCCTTCCATCCCCCATTCCTTTCACCCATATACTTCTTCAACGGCTTCTTTCGGTTCCTCGCCTCCGCGCGCTCGCCGTCATGGCGAACTCGCTCGTCGCTTCGAGGCACAGAACAGCATGGCTTCGCCCTGGAGCGACGCGCGGAACGTCTCAGGCCGTGGAGCGACCCACCGACGCGGTCGCTCGCGACGAGTGGAGCTGATGTGTTAAAACACAGGGCGACGAGTGGAGCCTGGGGACTAGTGACTAAGTGTTTTAGACGTGTGGTGGTTTAAGAATTAACGTATAATTTATTAACTTGAATCGCTTGAATGCTTGAAGTAATTTGAACTATCTTGATAGTTCTGGATTTCTGGATGTGTTGTTTTTTTTTGCCCGATTGCACTGCTGGAGTAGGTTGGCTTCTCGCTGAAACCTTGCTCTGTATACTGACACCTTACAAAGAAAACTCAAGGTGGGGGGTTCTTTCTCACAGATGATGATCCAACAAGAATGGACCAATTCAAACAGACTTGTGGAATGGAATGGTCGTTGGCACACTGGCCTTGTTTTGTACGGACGTATGTCCCTAGACTGGACCAGACTGGACATTGTATGTTCATGTCACCTTCCACAGATTTATGTGGGCCTCCAGTTTGACCTACAGGATGACCGTCCCACATGTGTTTTTCCTTGTCTCGCTTCATGGCAGGCCCCACCGCCCAAACATATGTTTCTCGTTTCGCTTCAGGAAGCAAACCGTTGGCCAGTACCAACTGGACGGTCTTCGACTTTGGGAGCGCCACTGTGGTGGGAGAGTTCCAGATTTGTCGGGGCATCTCAATGGAGATTCGCTGGGTGAAGATGGGCGAAAAAGCACCGAAAAGGGCGCACAAAGATGTTCCAGCCAAGTAGCGGGGTTAGGATCAAATCATCATTGCCTTTCGAGTGAGCGACTATACAGAGTGTCCTGCTTGTGCATGTGTATATATTCTTTGAGTTTAAGAGAAGACAATGAGGTTGAAGAAAGGAGCCACTGGATGGATCGATTTTGGATGAAGAAAGGTTCAATCCCAGTCGAAACATCCGGTGACCCCAGAGCCAAAGATGTTGCAAAGCCCTCAGCCTTTATGAGGGTTCCAAAAAGTTCTCGTTCGGCATGACACTTGTGCTCAAACTGAACTACTCTTTCTATTGAGGTAGTATGTTCATCCTTTTTGGCATTCAAAGCAGCTTGTTGGGAAACAAGCGCTCGTGAGAGAATTTGAGATGTCATCCATCGTGAGATGTCTCTGACCTCGGTGGTGAGATGTAGCCAGTTTGGTCTCAACCACCCCATCCAAGGTGTGAGGTATTATGCCTGAATAACGATTAAACCAATTCTAAACATTGCTCTGAAAGCCACAGACCGTGCTGCCACACTGCCAGAGCCTGGCCTGGCGCCCGCAAAGGATCGACGACAACAATCAACAACATGCGGTTGGAGCGTCATATTGAATGAACATGATTCATTTTGACGCTACATTCACAGCCTTAGAGCATTTGGTCAAGAGAAAGGCTCTACAAGCTACATGTATCCTGCTCTTCCCGTGTCCCAGACCCTTAGGCTCCACCTTTCCAGCCCTATCCTTAGGTCCAGTATTAGGACCTGCAGTCCAGTCGTGAATTCCCACCTTTTATTTGTGTAAGTATCATATTGAGGAAGTTGAATCAGCTGCCCTAGAGACACACTCAGTCTCCTATCTCGCAAGAGCGAACTGAGGCATTTGCACCAACTATGACAATGGCCGGAAGTCTTGGAAATCGGGTTCTAGGTTTAGGTTTGGTGATGTCAACAAAACATATATATATATAATATATATAAATATACATGTAGTTTTAATATATGGCCCAGATATGGCCTATGACTCTGTGATAAAAGTACGAAGAGTTCCTACACCACTTGATGAGAGATCGTGGATTATTCCGCGATTCAAAGAGTGACATATGCATGCATGATTAGGTGGGGGGGGTGCGCCGCAAAAATACAGGATTGTGATGTTCCTGCGACCCACCAAAGAGAGATTTACTGTACTACCTTGAAATCCAACCCTGCAAAGGCAGCAATGGTCCGCAAGCCTGTGCACCTCAAATGGCTCCAAGCCTGTGAGGGTCGGTTTTTCTTCTCTTTTTATTCTCATGCCACGAAAAGGAGGTGCTTCTTGGGCGCCAAACTCACCTCAAACCGGAGGGTCCCGAAACCCCTTCTGCCATCCCTTTCCGGCCACTCCGGATGACCGGAGTGGCGGGATCGGATGAGTCCGAGGTCAAGATGGCTTGGCTTGCAGCCAAATCGAGGAGTTGGAGACTCGAAACGCAAAAGGCAGAAGACTCTAACAAAACCCACCATAAAACACCAATACTCGTTGTTGTTGAGCTCCATATTATTAGCACAACAAATACAATACTTATTATTTTAATAATCGTTGTGCTCCATCTAAGCATTCTGGAGATAATGAGGCTTGCTCGAGCTGGATAGTGGGTGTGTCATCTGCCCACTTTCCTTCACAAGTACTTCTGTCTTTGGATAAATTTGTCAGTACATAGTACACGATCAATCTTTTCATGTCATCTACCGCAGGTGGAACAGAGGCAGGTTGAACAATGTTGAACAGTTGAACATCCCCAAACATGACTTTTTTTGGAAGTGCTGTGGTCTAGCAATTAGGACAACTATGTTTGACTGATGACCTTAGCTCTGTTTGCTGGCTATGGCTTGCTCTAGTGCTTAGGAATGTGCAGATTATATAATGATATACTATGGTGTACCTCAGTGTATATTATATGTGTATATTATATACGGTATATTATATTAGTTGCTTTTTGTTGTTGTTTCATGCCAATCTGTGAAGGGTAGTGTTTGGGGTGTAGGGCTGGTTTAGCCTATTTTGAATGAACATACGATTACAGTAAATGAAGTGACATGACATGATCATATATCTAACTATCATTTGAGTGCTGGATAGTGGTGGAACATGCAATCAAAGATCAAACCAATAGCTGTATGCTTTGTGGATTGGTCGGAAATGGACTCGCCCAGCGAATCGTTCCCACATCAATCTCTTGTAATGTTGGATTTTGATCAATGACATTTTTTTCTGTTGCAGGATGATTGAAAGCAATTTGAATTCAATCTCTTGATTAAAGATCTATCCAGGTTCAATACCGTATCAAGCCTGATATAGATACGACCTTACTATGTGCCACTCCTGTACTTGCCCAACACTTGCAGCGCATTGGCTCAAGGGATCAAGCAGTGAACCGTAGGCTGAACTCTTTCACCCGTGCGTGCTTCGGTCCCAACCGATGCCCGGCTCGCGGTTGTTCCATGCCTTGAGCTTGGAATTGCCACGAGAGGAGCGGTTTTTCGTGCACTCGGTCGGATCCGTTCGGTGGTTTCGGTGGTTCGTCACTAGTTGTCTGGATGGCGGGAAGAGAACTCCACACAGAAATCAAAAAACAAAGAAAATTCACTATCGAGATTGGTTGCATTGTCAAGAATCGAGGAACAATACATTGTGAAATGTCAGGGACGTTTGTTTTTGCATGCTTTGCCCAGGCCGCCACATGGACCTTCTATAGTTTCTTTCACTGCCAGTGCCCGACGCGCGGGTCTCGCAAAGATTTTGCCAGGAGCTTCTCGAGCGCTTCGGTCACCTTTTGGTCGGCCTACATGTTCTTCCGCAGGCTCCGCAGCCTGCAGCGCTGCACCCGGCGGTGCAGCCCACGGCGCAGCCAATGGCAGTGCAGCCAATGGCAGCGCAGCCAACGGCGCAGCCAACGGCGGTGCAGCCAACGGCGTCCACGGCCGGGCGGCAAGGTGGTAGAGCTGCTGATGCAGATTCAATGACTTCAGATGAAACACGTTCAGAGAAGTTTGACTCCTGAGAAAACATTGTGGATGTGAGGAGAGGACGAAATTAAGACAATGCGTTGGTGGATCACGTGGCACAGGAGAAAGCACGAAATAGGGTAATACACAAAAACAATGTAGTTAGATTTGAATGTAATTAATTATCGATCATTACGGATTTGTTTGTTTAAGACGGAGGTTAGCGAGATTGCACAAGTTTTGACCACGACCAATTGCCACGTGTGCCCACTTGTAAATACGCGGTCTTCAACTTACAGTTTGAAAGAGGCAAGTTGTTCGGTGGATGGTGCGACAGATGCGTACATCCTAGCCTCAGGACTGGGCGGAGTCAGCATGTTGAGATTTTCAACGAACCCTGGACACCCTCCGAACCATCTCCCCCCAACATGTGTTTCATTGTGTTTCTGTGACTCCATCCAAGGAACTGGGCTCCGGACCGACGTTTAGGGCTCCACTAGGCACTTTCCCTTCTTTTTGACATGGCTCTAATGGCGTTAAAAGGAAAAGGAGCCAGCGCAACTGCGGGAGTAGGAGCAGGGGTGCTCGTGCGTAACCACGCATGTCACCTCACGCTCTTACCCTATAGATCTGTCCACGGGATCGTCATGTAACGACCCTGTTTTTGTTGGCTACTAGAGTAAGCTCGGCACCCACCTGCAGGTCATATCTCACGCCTTTAAGGCCGTTCATCGGGAGAAGAGATCCAGAAGGAGAATCAGTCGAACGTCCCTGTAGAGAATTAGTTGTTCCTGTTGAGTTCCCGAGTTTCCCTAAGCCCTAAGCCCATCCACCAATTCGTGCAGTGAGGTTTTATGAAGCTGCAGGGCCTTTGATCGTAGCAGATGAGGCTCTGGGGAGATGTGCCCAACACTGCACTATTTGACCACCAGCTCCAGCTGATTGATGAAGAACACCAGGCCTAATGCCAAACAAGAGTAACAAGAGAGATGTTATCATGAAAGAACTACTGACGCATGGCATTCGTTTCCATTTTCTCCGCAGGATCTGCGCAATGTCATACCACAGTTGTCCTTTGCCCACGGTGTCATGCATGGAGAGTGAGCGCTCTCTCTTCGGTTTGTTGGTACCCCCATAGTAGGGTCCTATCATCGGAAGTAGCAATTGTCGATTGGTTGCAGCGGTATGATATCGATATATCGATTATTTTAAAAATGCTTTCTGGGGATGGTGATAGATTCTGACAAATCACAATTGCCCTTTCTGAACACAAGGTAATCATGCAAATCATCCAGAGACATTGAACATGTTGGAACAAACAGCTTGAGAAAAGTCCTTGAGAATCGTTGACCCAAGCGTTTCCAAGCCATCGACCCTCGCCGGTCCAGCGAAGAAATGCGCAGGTCTTTTTAGCCTTCGAAGCAGGGCTGACTCCAGTGGCCGGGCTGCCCAGAGACAGTGCCAAAGGCACACGAGGGTATAACAGATGATGAGAATCCCAAAGCCATATAATCCAGGAGAATCTATGAACATTATGAACATCGCATGAGAATCGCAAGAGATCCTTGGCTTTCTGCGCGATGCGATTTTTCACGGAACTGTGCCGATAGTCTTCAGGATTTGAACGTGAGCCGTGGCTATGGTGCGGTGGCCGAGCTTCGATCGAAAGCGCGGTGGACGTGGCGGCCAAACCATGCCAAACCGCACTTCTTCGTAGAGTAGTAATTTGAGGAATGTAGAAGATCCTAGGCTGCCCAGGATAATCACATGAACTTGGTGAAGGTACAGTCGCTTGAGATCTTTTTTCATGGCCTACTGAGGAGCCCACAAAATCTATGGACATCCTTGAAAAGCAAATGGAAAGTGGCGACTCACTTGCTTTGAATCTCCTTTTGAAGTTCTTTGGGTGGGGAGCCAGGTACAAAGTACTATAGTCAGTTTCAAATCGTGTGGGCTGATTGAGGAAAGGTGAACGCGAAACCAATGGGGCGCATCATGGCATATCTCAAAAGGAGGACACCTTAGTCAGACTTTTCGAGACAGGACACGCGTAAGACAGAGCGTGGCTGTGAGATGGATGTGGTTGAAAGGACCCAGGGACCTACGGGGAACTACAAGTTCTATGTGTTCGTTGTTCTTTTTCGCTCCAGTGTTTGGTTCGCTGCGTTCTGTTTGGGTTCTCTACATGGTTTCGTCCGCTGCTTCGGACCCCGCGCCTTCGGTGGAAACCCGAAGCTCACGTGAACGATGGATGCGGCCCATGGCCTGGCCGGGAACGGGGGAAGTTGATGTCCTGGGCCACCTGGTGGCATTGCCATGATGAGTGGCCGCCTGGTGACCTGGGTGTAGAGGTACTGTAGCTTTTTTAAGACTCAACGAGGTCCTAGCAGGGAGACCAAGCCCAAGTCAGGTAGAACACGACCACAGGAGATGTCATTCCGGGGAAGTTCTTGAACTCTGGCCCGCTTGCTGCAGGATCAGTAAGTTGCCTTGAATGTTTTGTTTGGCGAGTGCCACATCAAGCTTTCCAGAGACTTCACATGTGAGATGTTTGGACGAAACCAGACAATCTCAAGACCTCTCTCCGGACATAGGCTATAGATAGGGTGTATCCCGTTGCGAACAACAGTCAGAGAAAGGCCTTTACTAACCAAGCTAATATGAATGGGGCCAGCTACAATAGACAAGGCAAAGGTTCGAAATTTTGGGCGTGGCTTTCGTGATCAACTTCAGGCCTGGACTCCTCCGACAGGCCAGTTTGCGTGGTGGCTCCACTTGGCGAATCTGCAACAGAATTAAAGTGACACGCCCTCGCATTGAAGTCACATCCTGCAACTCAGAGAAGTACAACTAGATAGTGTGTTTTTTTGATTGGACACAAAAAAGCAGGGGGAACCGGGAGATCTCTCATGTTCTATAAACCACCTGACCTGGGTGGTGCTGGTGCCTAGATCTCTCTGTCCTTTTCAACTGACTCTGCTAGGATCGGACTTGGGGAGCGGTATCATGAACCCTTTGCAGTTGACATTAGAGACGCGGCGAAACACTGTGTCAGGAATGAGGTATATACCCCTTCGATTCATTAAGCAGTGTTCTGTGGTGCAAAGAGAGAAACAGATTGCTTTCCAAGGACTGAAAGAAGACGATGACAACGGATGACACTGAATGAATCCACGTTTACAAACTGTCCCGGGTCCCTGTTTGCTTAATCTCTCCACTGTTCCACATGTAGTAGGTTGGAGGCCATTGCTTCTAGGGTTGGAGGCCATCGGAGGCGTAGAAACAAAGACAAAAGAACAGAAACAAAGAAGAGATCATCACCCGGGCTGCGACGTGGTCCAAATGTTAAGAACGGACCGTGACTGGATCACATGTCCACCCACCGACGGGCCAAAGCCGCAAGGCTCTTCCTCCACTCGGGCTTCTTCTGCAATGCTTCCACGCTAGGCATCGGGGCGGGGTGGGGGGTGTTGCACCAAGAAGAGTGAACAAGGATGAACAAGGAATATGACAAGCATGGGCTGGAGACAAGCATGGCGTGCACGGGTTGTAATTACGACAGGTTGCATCAACATAATGTGACGATACAAACAAACCTCAACCACCAACACAAGATGTCCAGTGTTGTATGCTATTCAGTTTGTTCTTGTGGATTTAGTGCGTGTCAACACCAGCACAGACAGACACTATGTGTGCCAACATGCTTGTTTTTGCAGCAAACCATCGCAAGACTCAAATACACCCTCACAACGTGGCATGATGTGGCATAAAGGTAGGTATACCGCTTTTCATCCATCATTCGATCGGCCTTTTTGCCACATTTTCCGATCTTCTGGGACCGGCCCCGGGCCCGAGGCTCCTTCGTGATCTCTCCCAGCACGGTGGAGGCACGGCCGGGGTCGATCTCGAAGCGTTGTTCCAAGCGCGGTTGGGGGTTGGGACGCTGTGGGAGCTCAGAGAGATGGAAGTGGAGGCGAAGTGGTTGGGCCGGGCTTTGAAGCACCAGGACATCCCCCCATACTTCATTTGGGGTCAGAGTCTCCAGGATCCAACGGCCGGCGGACTATGTCAGGATAGTCCACGAAGGTCCTGTGATTTATTCAGAACCTCATGAGATGAAGCCTAGTGTTTATGAACTTACTCTACTGCTTCATGGGGGAACTCAGTATGGCCTATACCAAGAGCCCTTACTCATGTTATTGGGGAACAATCCTACAAAAACATCAATGATGCTACGAACCGAGTCAATCCATTGCCCCTCACAGACACCTGGGAGCCTTGAGCACTTTCCTAAGTCGTTGATCCAATTGAAACCTGCAAACTCCCAGTTTACTAGCTGCTCCGCTAAGATGGGAATCCTTTCAGCTGTAGAATTCTTGCTTGCTAATAATCAAGATCAAGGGTTAAATGCTTCGCACATTCATTCGAAGAAAACCATGATATAGTCCATGTATAGAGGATGCGTGAATACCAAAGCACCCAACGACCCAGTAGTTTGTAGTTCCCCGGTTTCTGTTGCAAGATGCAGTCATGCAGTACCCCCACCTGTAGTGTAGACCTTCACACACAGGGCCGACCTCGGGTTGACGCACCGGGCCGCTAGGCCGCCGGTGCTTGGGCTCTTTACTCCTTGGACTCCCTGCAGCTTCCCAGCCCGGCAGCCCGTGACGTCACGGCGGCCCCTTTCAGTCCATTGCCGTGTGAAGGTCAAGGGCAACACGTCGCCGTTGAAGGTCAAGGGATCTGGGAACCGTCTGGTCGACTCTGCGAGGGGTGGAAGATGAAGACGGTGAGGTGAAAGAGGGATATTTTTGAAGAACAGCCTAGAGAGAACAGGATGTCCTTGCGACATGGTAGGTTGACCTGGTTTGATATTCTTGGTTCTGTAACTTCTTGTGTAATTGTTGATATTGTTGGAACCTTTTTGAGAGCCGTGCGCGGTAGGATTTTCATGATCAAAACAGGACTGTCCTCCACATTTCCCACGTGAACCTTATCCTTACGTAGCCTTCAGCAAAACAATGTCAATATTAGACAGCACTCAGGATTGTGTATGATTCACTGAAGTTGGCATTTGAATTGTAATTTCAGAAACCACCTAGGCGGCCTCTACGTGGCATGCCTTTGCAGCAACTTCGATG